CCTTAAGTTCTATGATGTTTACTTTCACATGGTTCTAACTCAGAATGTCTCATATTTTTTAAAACTTCTGGTGTGATTTCCTTTGGGCCAGAATACTTCAGAGTTAGTCTTACATGCATCAAATTGCATCATGTTAGGAGAGGCATGCTATATGGCTTGTCCACCACTAATGATTATTATTTCTCTTTGTGACCAAAATGTAATCTGTGTGATTTTACTTTGCCCATTCCCTGTCAATCATTTCATGGGTGATTTTAATACCAATAAGTAATCCTTGACTGAATGATACATTTCTACAGGGCCTTTAAAGTGATCATTTTCTAGTCTTCTCACTCCTTTAACATTTATTTGATTTTTACTTCAAATCGCATCAAATTTTTTCTCGCTTTTTCTTTTCTAAGCATTTTAAAGTTGTGTAGATTTAGTGTGTTCTAATAAACTACAATTTTATGCCAATGGACACTTTCAAGCCATCTCTTGTCTCATTTTAACATGATACCATTTATCTTGGAAAACTTTCTTGTGCTCCAGGCTCACCTGTACCTTCGTTTCCAGACCTAGAATTGGCCATTTCTTCAAGGAGCTCTGGTTCCTTTTACTGGAGAATGGTATTAGAGAACAAGATTTAGGGTGTGCTCATTGCCCAGAGGTAACATTGTTTTGAGGCCATTTTAAATGACAGAGCTTGATGCTTCATATTTTTAAAAATTGTGAGTCTCTATTAGTATTTCTACCTCAGTGTAAATGGCATATTAGTTTTAACTTCTTATTGCATTTTATAGTAAAAAAATTTTGAAATGAATTACTGTACTCGTTTTCTTTGTGGTTCATCCTTCAGTATGAAAAAAATGGGCTTAATAACAATATTAATGTTAGTAGTAACCATAAACATGCTGTATCATGTGAAAATTTTCTTTTTAATATATTTTTGTCCTTGGAATGCATCCCCCTAAAGATGCATGTCATCAAAGTTCTCTATTCTAAGGTCATTTGAAATCCTTTTTCGGAGGAATTATGTCATTAAGTTAATATACAGTTGGGTTCATTTGTTACAATTTGTTTTCAAGTTAAGGGACTGCTTTTCTTTTTTCAATGAATTTGATTATTTTTGTAAGTAAGTAGTACATTTTTATGATTCAACAAAGATATATCTCACAGAGATATCTCATTCTGCTCCCCTCTCCCAGTCACATTCTTCTTTGTCCCTTGTAGATATAGCGTTTTGTGTTTTTGTATGTTTCTTGTTTATCCTTCAAGTGATTTTTTTTATTTGGTTACTAGTGTGTATTTTTTCTTCACTCCTGTTCCCTACCCTCCTTACGTAAAAGATAGCGTGCCATATATACCTCTCCTTGTCTCACTTTCTTCATTAACAAAACGTCTTGGAAATGTTCCTTTTGCCCAGGCTGGGAGGAGGATAGTGGTTCAGTCATAGCTCACTGTAACCTTCAACTCCTAGGTGCATGCGATCCTCCTGCCTCAGCCTCCCGAATCACTAGAACCACAGGCATGTGCTATGATGCTCGACTAATATGTTATTTTTTGTAGAGACAGTGTCTTGCTATGTTGCCCAGGCTGGTATTAACTCCTGGCCTCAAGTAATCCTCCTGCACTGATCTCCCAAAGTGCTGGGATTACAAGTGTGAAACACTGCACTCAGCCAGGACGGTCCTTAATCATTATCTTTTTTTTTTTTTCTTTTTAACTGCTAATAAATAAGATGCCATTGTGTGGATGTGCCACAGTTTATTCAGTTAATCCCTTGTTGAATATTTGGATTGTTTCCAGTGTTTTGCTGTTAACAATGCAGTACTGAAAAAATTTTAGTGTGTCATTTTGTACTTATACAGGAATATCTCTAGAGTAGATTGCTGCAAGTGGAATTAATTGCTCAGTGGGTAAGTACTTACACTCCCACTAGCAATGTGCAAGAACTGAGCACTTTCCCCCCTGGACCCTTACCTTCAGAGTGTAGTGTTGAGTGTTTGATTTTTTGCCAAAAGCATAAATTGGCACCTCAGCCGCATGTTGACTCACATGGAGACAGTCAGTCTCAAATCTGTCTCCCTGTGCTGGCTTTAAGGCAGTATCTTTATTAGAAAAGGTTGAGGAGATAGATTCTGAGGTTAACAGGTGATTGGTGGAAGGAATGGCGAGGTCTGTCTGGAAAGCTGTCAGGCTTGTGCAGTTATCTCTTTGTGACTCCTGGTTTCCATGTGCAAATTCGGAGTGCGGGGGAGTTGGTGTGAATCATGCAATAGAAGTTCAGCAAGCTCTTCTGTGCAGACTCTATTTGGCTATATTGGTTCCAATGGATTTTAGCCAGTTATTTCATAAATGGGGAGCATTTCATCAAGTTGACTGTTTGAAGTAGATTTTCCTAGACAAGTACCAGGAAAAAGGAGACATGATAGCATTATGTTCTTTCAGGCTTATGTTACCCTTCTAGTGTTAGAGCAAAAGACTCCCACTCCCCATATGTCTCACTGACCTCAACCTCGTGGAGGCTGACTTCTGTCTCCAGCCATCTGTTTCCCATAATTCTTCACAGTACTTACTATCCAGGATGATGCGTTCGCTTTGTGCTAAATCTGGTATCTCTGGGCACCCTACTCCCAAATGCTTTTCAAGCAGTCCTTTTCTGTTTAATCTAGGTTCTGCTTTTATCAGTTTCCTCTTAAAAGTAAGGCTTCCTCGTTCTGTAAGGAAAGATTAGCTACAGAATTTTGAACTCTTCAAGTCCATAGAACCTCCTCAGCATTCTAGGTTCTTCTGAGGCTTCTTTGCAACTTTATGTTTAGGCCTCCTAGTTGGGTCTGCATTAGATGGGGATTTGACTTTTTCTCTAGTTTTGCTGTTCATCATTAGTCTCACTTACAGTAGTTCTCACTCAGGTGGGTCCCTCATTTTGAGAATATTTGCTCATTATTTCTGCTTTCTGTTACTTCCAGGACTACTTGCTGCATCTACCACACTTCACCAATCTGCTATTTTGGGTGTTTGGGATGTGCATAAAACGCACATAATTTGTATTGGGTGTGTATGTGTAAGTAGTAACTTAAATTTTTTATGATCTTGCTTTTTTTTATATGATTTCAGCTTATAGAAAAGTTGAATAGTATTGAAAAGTTCTTTGGGACTAATCATTAACTTTTTTTTTTCCTTTGAGTTGGAATCTCGACTCTCACTCTGTCGCCTAGGCTGGAGTGAAGTGGCATGCTCACGGCCACCGCAGCCTCAACCTACTGGGTCAAGCAATCCTTCTGCCTCAGGCTTCCAAGTAGCTAGAACTGTAGGCACACCCAACTCATTTTTTTATTTATTGTTGAGATGAGGTCTTGCCAAGTTGTGCAGGCTGGTTGCGAACTCTGGGCTCAGGCAGTCCTCTCTCCTCCGCCTCCCAGAGTGCTGGGATTACAGGCGTGAACCACCACGCCCAGGTCAAAAACTGTTTTGAACAGTGGGAAAAAACCTCTGGATAGGTGTATTGCATCAAATGGAGAGTACTTTGAAGATACCTGAAGTTTAAACATTAAGAATAAATACATAATTTTTTATAAATAAAGTCTGTTTTTTTTCGGGTCCCCCCTCATACTCTGAATGAAACTGTACCACTATTAAAAATTTCCTGTAAATATAGATTCATCCATTTATTAAGAAAACATTTTTAAGCCAGGTACAGTGGTGCATGCATATATTTCCAACTACTCAAAAGTCTGAGGCAGCAGGATCACTTGACCCCAGGAGTTTGAGGCTGCAATGTGCTATGATCACACCTGTGAATAGCCACTGCCCACCAAAAAAAATGTTTTTTGTTTAAGTTAATAAAAGACATTGGCCAGACATCTCACCCCAGCAGGTCATGGCTGCGGTGGCCAGGAGCGTGCTACTGCATTCCAGCCTGGGCGATAAAATGAGACTCCAACTCAAAAACAAAACCAAACACACAAAAAACAGTTTTTGAACTTGTCGATGCCTTTTGAATTTTTTGATGCCTTTTAGCCTTTTAGTACTTTTGCCATATTTTTCTTTCACCTCTTCTACATCGGCAGACTCTTTGAGGACTTTTTTCATCCAGGGAAACAAAACAAGTCATTTGAGGTGAGAGCAGATGAATAGAGAGGGTGGGACATGGGGGTCATGCTGTTTTGGGTGAAAAACTGCTGAACACCCAGCACATTGTGGGCAGGTGTGCTTGTCAATCATCCATCGTGAAATGAGCCCACATGTTGAAAGAATCTCCAAAAAAATTCGCTGAAGCCAAATGTAGCCTTTCAAAACAATGCTAGCTGGGACCCTGATGCTGATGGGTTCCTAGAACACTTACATAGTGAGGGAAGCTATACTACTAGGGGCCCTCCCTCCAAAGATAATTGTGGTTTTTTGGGGGGTCCCAAATATTAGGACTCCAGAAACGCATTTGAGTTATTCTTGAATACTGTTAGAGCTACTTTTTATACATTGTACTCATGTGCCTTAGTTCTGATAGAAATATGTTGTTATAGTCAAAGATAAGAGTATTGAACTCGTCCAGAAATAAGGGCCATAGTTAAAATCCTCTCAGGAACCTGTGTAGGGGTGTGGTGCTAGAAAAAAATAGCAATCAGTCACACAAGATAACAGCTTTCTTATGTAAGTAAAATGCTGTTAGTTCTCACTTTCTCCCCCTATTTCTGGATGTGTGGAGATTTTTTTTTTTTGAGTTGGAGTCTCACTCTGCCGCCCAGACTGGAGTGCAGTGGCCGCTCCCGGCCACCGCAGCCTCGACCTGCTGGGCTCCAGCGATCCTTCTGCCTCAGCTTTCCGAGTAGCCGGAATTACAGGCATGCGCTACCACGCCCGGCTGAATTTTTAATTTACTGTAGAGATGAGGTCTTGCTGCTCAGGTGGGTCTCGAACCCGCGGGCTCAGGCAATCCACTCTCCTCAGCCTCCCAAAGGCGTGGGATTACAGGCTGAGCCCCCAAGCCCAGCTATGTGGAGATTTTCGGTGGCTTAAATGTTGTTGAAATTTAAGATTCATGTGATTCTTTGTCTACATGATTGTATATGCTTCAGACTCTAAGGCAAATGGTCATTACTTTGTTCTGCTTCACAGGGCCACTTCCTTGTGCATCCTTGGAAACTGCGTCTTCCCCATCATTCAGAGGGCCAAGAGGCCACAGGGCTTAGCCTGGGTTCTAGGATTATACTTGGTCCCCAGCATTAACATTGTAGTGCTGTGTCATTTCCCCAATAGCAGGTTATATGATCGTCTGTTGAAGCAAGAAGACAAACTATGATGGAGAAAGGACAAGTGGACAGGAAATCTGTCCAGGTGAGTGAATTACAACCCGGCCATTCACAGTTGTTCAGTCAACATTGACACCTCTGAAATGCTTTATGTATGGTTTTTTACAGGCTCTAGTCTTAGAATATCACTTGGTGTTAATTTTTTTAGATACTTGAATGACATTTTCAGACATCATTTTTTTCTGTTTCAGTGCTCCTTCCTTCAGATTCTAGAGGAGCAGGTGCCTTGCTTGTCTCTATTTTTATATCAATACTTCCTCACTTGTACTCCCTCTGTTGTGATTATTCCTTCATTTTCATATCCTCCTATGTATAGACTTCTTTCCTTATGCATTTTCCTATATTGGTTGTAAGTGTTTACATATTGTCTGCTATTTAGGTTCCTTTTTATTACTTACCACTTTTTCTCATTCTTTCAGTGACTAAATGCCTTGGAATACAGTTTGCATCTGTATCCATACTCCTCATTGTATTCTTACCCACTTCCCCCATCTTAGATCTGTGCACTCCTCTGCTTCCCTTCCTTCTGCTCCCATGTACCTCTTGCATAAGTTGCCGACTTAGAGTTTAGTGCTGCCTTTCTGGTGGGTGTGTGTGTGTTTTAATATCATACATGAACTTGTAGAAATTTTTGAGGTAAACAGCAAAGAGGCTTTTCTTCTTTCAACCAGCTTATATTCCTGGATTCCGTTGTTGTCAGCAGGAAGCTATGATTTGGCCCGGGTCTGTGCCTTATGTTTCTGGGGAATACTGCATGAGGGCTTTCCCTTAGAACAGCAATGGCAGCTATCCAGTCGATCTTTTCTGATATGACATTAAAATTATAACTATTTCCATGCTCATCAACATTTTGGGGGAGGAGTTTCTGTTTTTTTCCTTCAAAGATACAAAAAGTGGTTAGATTATCTTCTACCATTTTAGAAGAAAGATCAATTTGTTATGTTTGAATCATCACTCTTGGGAATTTTCTCACTTCTGCCTGATTGGTACTTTGATGACTCATGGTATTGCTTAGTCTAAATTTCCTCATCTTTTATTTTTATCTTTTTCTTTTTTTGGCTTTAACCCATCCTCTTACTGGAGGTGGCTCCTAGAACCCTGCATTCTTTTTTTATCTTTTTTTTTTTTGAGTTGGAGTCTCACTCTGTCACCCAGACTGGAGTGCAATGGCCGCTCCTGGCCACCGCAGCCTCGACCTGCTGGGCTCCGGCGATCCTTCTGCCTCAGCCTTCCGAGTAGCTGGAACTACAGGCGCGTGCTACCACGCCTGGCTAATTTTTGATTTATTGTAGAGATGAGGTCTCGCCAAGTTGCCCAGGCGGGCCTCGAACCCACGGGCTCAGGCAATCCAATCACCTCGGCCTCCCAAAGCGCGGGATTACAGGCTGAGCCACCGAGCCTAGCTTGACTAATTGCATTTTTATTGTGTCAGAATTCTACCCAAATTAAAAATTTCATCCTGATATTATCAGATCCAGAGATCACCTCAGACCAATTTTATATTATTTCTGAATGATTTATTTTCTTATGGTCTTTGTGATATGGTCAGTTAAGCCGCTAAAAAGATATACTAAACTCTACCTAACAGAGAACATATGATTATTAATATGAACATATTTCCTTCCCTTTATAAAATTATTTGAATCTTGGCCTTTGATTATGAAATGTTCTACTTACTCAGGTACTACTGATCGTTTAAACTGGAATTCAGCCTGTAATCCTGCGCTTTGGGAGGCTGAGGTGAGTGGATAGCCTGAACCTGCGGGTTCGAGACCCGCCTGGGCAACTTGGGGAGACCTCATCTCTACAGTAAATCAAAATGAGCCGGGAGTGGTAGCGCGCGCCTGTAGTTCCAGCTACTTGGAAGGCTGAGGTGGAAGGATCGCCGGAGCCCAGCAGGTCGAGGCTGCGGTGGCCGGGAGCAGCCACTCCAGTCTGGGCGACTGAGACTCCAACTCAAAAAAATAAATAAATAAATAATAAACTAGAATTCAGTTTTCACTAAAATGGTTCTGTTACTTCCTCTTTTTATTACCCTCAACTGTCCTACTTCATGTTTTCGAGAAAAACTCAAAGGACCTCAGTAAATTATGTTTTATGTTTTGGTGTCTGGAGTCTGTATTATAAACCTATTGAAAGGAATGCCCAAGTTTTAATCTTCCTGTTGGCAGTTTTGAGTACATGCGATACTGTTAAATAAGCTAGGAATTGTTGTGAAAATATTGTTATTTACAAAATCCTCCTTTCTCAAATTTTTTCTTATGAACATTTGCATTTTTTAAAATGTTTTTATTTTTTGAGTCGGGGTCTCACTTTGTTACCCAGGCTTGAGCGCATTGACACGATTGCAGTTCATGGCAGCCTCAACCTCCTGGGCTCAGGAGATCCTTCTGCCTCAGCCTCTTAAGAATGTTTTTGTTTTTGGGGTTTTGTTTTGTTTTGTTTTGTTTTTTGAGTCGGAGTCTCACTCTGTTGCCCAGACTGGAGTGCAGTGGCCACTCCCGGCCACCGCAGCCTCGACCTGCTGGGCTCTGGCGATCCTTCCACCTCAGCCTTCCAAATAGCTGGAATTACAAGCATATGCTACCACACCCGCCTGATTTTTTGATTTATTGTAGAGATGAGGTCTTGCTACCCAGGCGGGTCTCGAACTCGCAGGCTCAGGCAATCCACTCACCTCAGCCTCCCAAAGGCGCGGGATTACTGGCTCAGCCACCAAGCCCGGCTTGTTTTTTCTTTTGAATTGAAGTCTTACTCTTGCACTCTTGTTACCCAGGCTGGAGTGCAGTGGCACAATCATGGTCACTGCAGTCTTGACCTGCTGGACTTAGGTGATCTTTCCGCCTCAGCCTTTCAAGTAGCTGGAACTATAAAAGCACACCACCACGCCCGGCTAGTGTTTTTGTGTGATTTATTGTAGAGATGAGATCTCACCAAGTTGTCCAGGCTGGTCTCAAACCTCCAGGCTCAGGAAATTCTCTCGCTTTGGCTTCTTAAAGTGCCGGGATTACAGACTGAGCCACCGTGCCTGGCCAAATGTTTTTGAGCATTAAAAACACTGAAATAATAATACAGTAATCTCTTATGTATATATCATGTAGGTGAATAATTAATATTTTGCCATATTTTTGTGTATCTATATCCGTATGTATTTTGTGTGCTCAAACATTGTGATACTTCACTCCCAAAAAAAAGTTAAGTATTTTCTAAAAATGAGAACCCCCCTCACATAACCAAGATGCCATTATCACACCTCAGAAGATTAACCATAATGCCCTAATATTATAGACTCTCCAGTCCATATTCACATTTTTTTCTTTCTTTTTTTTTGAGTTGGAGTCTCACTCGGTCGCCCAGACTGGAGTGCAGTGGCCACTTCTGGCCACCGCAGCCTTGACCTGCTGGGCTCCGGCAATCCTTCCGCCTCAGCCTTCCGAGTAGCCGGAATTACAGGCATGTGCTACCACGCCCGGCTGATTTTTTGATTTATTGTAGAGATGAGGTCTTGCTGCCCAGGCTGGTCTCAAATCTGTGGGCTCAGGCAATCCACTCACCTCAGCCTCCCAAAGACGCGGTATTACAGGCTGAGCCACAGAGCCCGGCTACATTTTTTTCTAAAAAAAAAAATTCCAGGATTTAGCCTTTGCATTTGGTTGTTGTCTTTTTAGTTTTTAAAATCGAAACATTCTAACCCTTATCCTCCCCACTATTTTTTGCCCCATAATATGGCCCCTGGGACTTTTTGTTTTTTTAATTTTATTATAGAGATGGGGTCTTGCTTTGTTTCCCAGGCTGGTATCTAACTCCTGATTTAAAGTGATCCTCCTGCCTCAGCCTGCAAAAGTGTTGGTGTTGCTTGGCTGGCCTCTAGTATTTTTAAAAATACAGTACTGTCATCATCTGTAGAAAAGAATAGAGCCATTAATGCAGTTTAGCACCTCAGGTTATAGTTAGAATGTTAAGTAAGACTTACCTATATACAAATTTGGGTTTGAAAATATTGTGTGTGAAATACTTATTTTAGAAAAAGTGAATCTGAGTGTAATTAGACATTTAGAGAAAGGGATTTAGGAGGCAAGATTAGAGAAGTCTTTTAAGAGCATATTCCTAGAGCTGCTTCTAGGAGAATCTGAATTGTAAGAGAGAAGTCAAGTTAAGCCAAAGAAGGATATGAGGAACACAATAAGCATAATTGTTGCTTAACATGCTTCTTCAGAGCTTGTGAACTTGTTTAGCTTCTACTTAGGATGTTCGTCCTCCAGTTATCTATAAGGATCATTTTCGTATTTCTTTTTGTCTTGACATGATTCTTGCCTTCTCAGATGGCGCCCTATCTGGAATTGAAACTCTTTACCCCATCCTTAATTATTTTTCCATAGCATTTAAACTTTTCAATAAACTGTCTCCTTTCCTACCTGTCTACTAGAACATAAAGTTTATGAGGGCAAGGAATTTTGTCAATTTTGTGTAATATTATTTATCCCTAGAGGCTAGAACTGTGCTGTGCACGCAGTGAGGAGACAAGTATTTGTTGAATGAATAATGAGAAATATTTTGAGCATCTATTCTCAAACTTTTTGGCCTCAGGAACCCTTTACATTCTTTTTTTTTTAAATAAAAGCTTTATTAAGATATAATTCACATACATAAAATCCATTCTTTTAAAGTATTCTGTTCAGTGGTTTTTAATATAGTCATAAAGTTTGGCAGTCATCATCACGAGTTAATTCTGAAACGTTTTCATTATCACAGAAAGAAACCCAGCACCCTTTAGCAGTCATCTTTGCAGTTTAAAAAATTGAGTACTACAAAGATCTTCTGTTTATATGAATTATAGTGATATTTACCTTATTTACAAGTAAACCGAGAAAGTATTTAAAATTTTAATTTATTTAAAGATAGTAAATCCAGCCGGGCTCGGTGACTCAGCCTGTAATCCCAGTGCTTTGGGAGGCTGAGGTGAGTGGATTGCCTGAGCTCGCGGGTTCGAGACCCGCCTGGGCAACTTGGTGAGACCTCATCTCTACAATAAATCAAAAATTAGCCGGGTGTGGTAGCTACTGTAGTTCCAGCTACTTGGAAGGTTGAGGCAGAAGGATTGCCGAAGCCCAGCAGATCGAGGCTGCAGTGACTGGGAGCGGCCACTGCACTCCAGTCTGGGCAACAGAGTGAGACTCCAACTCAAAAAAATTAATTAATTAATAATAAAAATAAAGGTAGTAAATCCATTAGATGTAAATTTAAGAAGTATTTCTTGGCCGGGCTTGGTGGCTCAACCTGTAATCCCAGCGCTTTGGGAAGCCAAGGTGAGCGAATTGCCTGAGCCTGCGGGTTCAAGACCCGCCTGGGCAACTTGGCGAGACCTCATCTCTACAATAAATCAAAAATTAGCCGGGCGTGGTAGCGCGCGCCTGTGGTTCCAGCTACTTGGATTGGAAGGCTGAGGCGGAAGGACTGCCGGAGCCCAGCAGGTCAAGGCTGCAGTGGCCAGGAGAGGCCACTGCGCTCCAGTCTGGGTGATAGAGTGAGACTCCAACTCAAAAAAGTATATATATATTTCTTAATAAAAATAACAATGTTCTAAAACAAAAATTTATTGAGAGGAGTGACATTGTATACATTCCTGTAAATGTCTTTATTAGGTGACTTAGTAGAACAGCTGGATTTTCATATTTACTGTTGTGATAATGTTGATTGAAGTATATGGGGGAAAAAATCTGACTTAGTATAGATCCGGCTTCGTACAGTAGGTAGAAAGGCAAGAAATATTTTAATAGCCTTTTCAGATAACCGTGAATATTCTTTGTTGCTGCAATAGCACTTAACAAGTGGTAGTTTTTTCCAAGATTAGTTGCAGTGTGGAATTTGGAACTATTTCAAAAAATGTGGGGTTCTCTTATTATATAAAATCTATTAGTCTGTCTTAAATTTTCTTTTTTTTTTGAGTTGGAATCTCACTCTGTCACCCAGACTGAAGTACAGTCTCAGCCTTCCAAGGGGCTGGAACCACAGGCATGTACCACCATGCCCAACTGATTTATTTATTTATTTATTTATTGTAGAGACAAGTTCTCACCATGTTGCTGGTCTCGAACCCCTGAGCTCAGGTAATCCTCTCACCTCCGCCTCCCAAACTGCTGGGATTACAGACTTGAGCTACCTCGCCCAGCTGTCTTAAACTTTCAATTATATACTCACTGGTCATTTGGAAAATATTGGTTTGAGTTACACAGATCTTTTAGATGTTGACACATTTCATTATGCAGAATCAAAACATTTGTTAACATCGTATTAGAAAACTATCAATCTCATGGTAGATACAGATTTTTTTTTTTTTTTGAGTTGGTGTCTCACTGTCCCAGCCACCGCAGCCTTGGCCTGCGGGGCTCCAGCGATCCTTCCGCCTCAGCCTTCCAAGTAGCTGGAACTACAGGCACATGCTAACACACCTGGCTAATTTTTGATTTATTGTGGAGATAGGTCTCGCCAGGTTGCCCAGGCGGTCTCGAACCCGAAGGCTCAGGCAATCCACTTACCTCAGCCTCCCATTTACAGGCTGAGCCACCGAGCCCGGCTCAGATTTTTTAAAGTTATAACTTTTGCTTAAAACTTGAATTTTATCATTGACAAACATACCTGTCAGTTGTTTTTCTTGAAATTGGTTCACTTTGTGAGTCCTGCCAATTAATACCTAACTCTAGACCAGGAGCAGTGGTGCATGCCTGTAATCTCAGCATTTTGGAAGGCCAAGGCAAGAAGATTGCTTGACCCTAAGAGTTCTAGACAAGCCTAGGCAACATAGCAAGACCTTCCTTTATAAAAAAATAAAAATAAAATTAGCCTGGCCTGGTTATATGCACTAGTAGTTACAGCTACTTGGGAAGCTGAGTTGGAAGGATTGCCTGAGTCCAGGAGGTCCAAGCTTTGGTGAGCTGTAATTGTGCCACTTCAGCCTATGTGACAGAATAAGAGCCTTACACAAAGTAATAATAATAATACCCAACCAAGTCTGAGTAACCATAGTTTGTAAGTCATTCATTCTCCCAAGTAAAATGATACTCTGTGAAAAGTATCTTTTCCATGTGCTTTTACCTGAGACACCTGTTATACTTTGGTGTACAATAGAAGTATATAAATGAGAGGGAACTAAAAAGAAAACTGTAGGCCATTGCTTTGTTAAACTCTGGTGTGTCCATGTGGCTCTTTGAGCTACAGCCGCCATGTTTCCTAGCTTTGGCCCCCTCCTCTACCTTGGGAAGGTGAATCTCCTCTCTCTCTGTCTCTGTCTCTGTCTCTGTCTCTGTCTCTCTCTCTCTCTCTCTCATTTACTTTGTAAATAAACTACATTTTCCAATCTTAAAAAGAAAACTGTATTTATTCTTACATGTTTAAACTTCGGTCACCTTCAGTATTCTGTTTGATTCAGTATACCTATCGAGATGTTTTTTCCATTATCAAAACAGTTTTTGAACTTGTCTTTTGATGCTTTAAGTGCTTCTGTCATTTTTTTGAGATAGTGTGTTCATCTTTTAATTTATTGCATTTGGCAGTTCCTCATTGTTATGCACTTTTCTGAATTCTGGAATGGAAAAGGTTATTTTTCAAGAGTAATCTACGCTTTGCTGAATTCTGAATGGAAAAGGTTATTTTTCAAGAATAATCTAAGCTTTGTGGACCCATGGGTATCACTTTCTACCTAGTAACCTCAACAAGGCTTCTCTGATCAAAATTTAGTCAGAGGCATAGATAATATTCATTCTTTTCATACTGGGACGTGCAATACCAAAATTAATCCCAGAAAAGTACAGTCTGAAATTTTATTGCTAGTAATGGGAAGATTCACAAACAATAGGGATAATAACATAAAGGTAATACTGTTGAATGCTTATCATGTGCCAACTACGGTTCTGAACACTTAATGTATTTATTATTTTAAATAATGATTCTCTGTACTCTGTTTTAGAAGAAGCGTCAGAAGATGTTGAGCAAATAGAGAGGCAAGAAGACTGGGAGGCAAGTTGCATCCATCTCCGGGAGAGTCAGGGGAAAAAAATCAGTGAATATAAGAAAACTGGAAAATACTTCCTTCTCTGATCTCAGACTTTATTTATTTTCATGCAATACCTTTTTGAACTTTTGAGCTTGAAACACAATTTAGACCTAACCTTGAGGGAGGTTGTATAGGAAAGAATCATCAATTAGTTTAGAACTCTTCTACCACAGCTTACTCCTTACGGTGTTAATCCTCTTTAAATATAAATCAGTGTGTAAATGTCTTTAGTTTAAAAAATTTTTGCCCCATCTGGTACCAGTGCATTCATACTTAGAGGGAAACCCTGTGAATTTGCTGCATGTGGGAAAACTTTTACTCACGTGTCACATCTCATTAACCATACAAGTCATGCTAAAGAGAAACCCTGTGCTTCTAAGGAATATTGAAAAGCCTTTAGCTAGATGACAGATCTTATTGAGCAGCAGAAGATTCATGCTGGAGAGAAACCAGTGAATGCAGCATAACTTTATTGAATATTAGAAGAATTATACCGGAGAGAAAGTTTTGAATGTACTGAGTATGATAAGATTTGCTCTCATACCTTATCCCTCACTCTGCATTTGGAAGGAGATACACAGAGAAGCCTTATAAATGTAAGAAATGTGGAAATATCTTCAGCCAAAAGGAAATCCTCATTCATCAAAAATTTTATACTGGAGAGAAACCTTGTGAATGTGGGAGAGCTTCCATTCAGATGTCACACCTCAGTCAGCAGAAAGTTTACAGTGGGGAAAGCCCCTTTGCCTGTAAGGTATGTGGAAAAGTCTTCAGCCACAAATCAAATCTCACTGAACATGAGCATTTTCATACTAGAGAGAAACCTTTTGAATGTAACGAATGTGGAAAAGCCTTTAGCCAAAAGCAGTATGTCATTAAACATCAAAACACCCATACTGGAGAAAAGCTTTTTGAATGTAATGAATGTGGGAAATCCTTTAGCCAGAAGGAAAACCTCCTTACCCACCAGAAAATTCACACTGGAGAGAAACCTTTTGAGTGTAAAGATTGTGGGAAAGCATTCATTCAGAAGTCAAACCTCATCAGACACCAGAGAACTCATACAGGAGAGAAGCCCTTTGTATGTAAGGAGTGTGGAAAAACCTTTAGTGGCAAGTCAAACCTTACTGAGCATGAGAAAATCCATATCGGAGAGAAACCCTTTAAATGTAGTGAATGTGGAACAGCTTTTGGCCAAAAGAAGTACCTCATAAAGCATCAAAACATTCACACTGGAGAAAAACCCTATGAATGTAATGAATGTGGAAAAGCCTTCTCTCAACGAACATCACTTATTGTACATGTGAGAATTCATTCAGGCGATAAACCTTACGAATGCAATGTTTGTGGAAAAGCCTTCTCCCAGAGTTCGTCTCTTACTGTGCATGTGAGAAGCCATACAGGTGAGAAACCCTATGGTTGTAATGAATGTGGGAAGGCCTTTTCTCAGTTCTCAACTCTCGCTCTGCATTTGAGAATCCACACAGGGAAGAAGCCTTATCAGTGTAGTGAATGTGGGAAAGCCTTTAGCCAGAAGTCACACCACATTAGACACCAGAAGATTCACACTCATTAAACACCCCATGGATACCTTAAAAGTGGGAAAACTTTCATCGGGGTTTAACGCCTCATAGTGTATCTGAAATAATCATGCTGAAGCAAAGCACCACAAGTGAGGTAAACTTTAACAAATACGAAAACTTAAGGGACATCGGAGAATTTATACTGAAGAGAAATACATTCATACGGCAGAAAGCCTGTGTCTAACAAAGAAATGACAGCAAAAGTAATGCTGAGACTTTAGATGCATTTCCACTAAAATTGAGACCTGAAAACAGATGCCAGTTATTACTGCTATCAGCATGGATCTGGAGATCTTCACCAGTGTAATAAGAAAAATAAGTTGTAAATATTGGAAAGAGACAACAATAGATGATAAGATCATCTACAAATAATATAAGACTCTCGCGTCGATTCAGAGCAGAAGAGACATTGGAAAGAGACCTATGCATTTATTAGAATTTGAAATATGATGGAAACTGCATCAAGAAGTAGGGAAATCATGGCACTATTTTAAAAAATGATTTGGAGGTAATTTGTTCTCCAAGTGAAAAAACATACCATGAACTAGACACAAAAGTAAAATCCACAAAGATTAAAAACAGGAATATGGAATAACTATCTACTAAAATGGTTATGACCTTGAGAGTAGGGAAACATTCCTTGTAACAACTTCAGAAATACTTAATTCTACTTGTGAGTATGTATGCTCAGGAAATATGTACTAGGATATTTACTGTGGCTTGATTTGTAGTAGCAAAAAAAAAAAAATGGAAACAAATGCTCATCAGGAGACAAAACAGGAAGTTCTTACAATGAAATACTATATGCCTGTAAAAAGCAGCAAATGAGATCTACCTGTATTAACAAAGATCTCAAAATTATGTTGGGGGAAATCAAGTTGCAGGATGATACATATAATACAATGAATTTTTGTAAATTTGAATGAAGTTTCCCCTCAAAAATTCAGTACTATATACTGGTAATGGATTCATATATGTATGTAAATGTTTTTTAAATGGATTGGAAGGATACAGACCAAACTCTCTGAGAGTGGTCGCCTGTGAAGAGCTGAGAAGGGAAGGGAATGAGGGGGAGGCGGGGTGGGGATCGGTTAAAGGGGACTTCAGCTTTTTATATATTAACATCCACTTCTCTTTAAAAAGACTGCAAGTAAATATATGAAGATCTGATTAATTCTGGATTGTGGTATATGGATATCTTGTCTTATTTTTTGTACTTTTCTGTATTTTTAAAATTTCTCAAAATTAATAAGAATGGGGGTGAGGATGGGAATGTTGTACCTGTAGAATCATGTTATAATAGATTCATTCCCAATCAAATGCTAAACTTTTTATATAAAATATTTCTAAAATTTTATCAACAATGAGTGGATGGACTTGCTCTCTATGTAATATGAAATTATCTATTTTATTAAAATTAAAAATGACAGTGTGCTCCATCTTTTGTTTTAACATGTTGCGGTGTATACTATATGATCTCTACCTTCATATTTCTGACATTTTGCAACATATCATTTGAGCTTAGAAATTTTAAAGAACTTTTTGTTGGAGATACATGCAGATTTTTTTAATTTTTTTTTTTTGAGTCAGAGTCTCACTGTCACCCAGGCTGGTGTGGTGCGGTGGCATATTCACAGCCATTGTAGCCCTGACCTGCTGGACTCAGGCGATCCTTTCACCTCAGCCTTCCAAGTAGCCGGAACTACAAGCACCTGCCACTACACCCAGCTAATTTTTTTTTTGTTAATTGTAGAGACAAGATTTTGCCAAGTTGCCCAGGCTGGGCTCTTTGCCAAGTTGCCCAGGCTGGACTCTGTAATCCCAAAGTGCTGAGATTACAGACTTGAACCACTGCTACTGGCCAGATTTCAAATAACTTGTATTTTTTAGTTAAACTGCTTTTGGAATGTCAGTTTTCCTGTCTTGTAAATTTCTATGGAAGCATATGCGTTCAATATTACATTTTTGATGATTTCATTTTTATTTACTTTTTTCTTTTTAGAGACTTGCTCCGATGCCCATGCTGGCATGCAGTGGTGTGATCATAACTCACTGTAATCTTAAACTGGGTTCAAGCAATTCTCCTGCCTCAGCCTCCCGAGTCACTGAAACTCCAGGCATCCACCACGATGTCCAGTTAATTTTTAATTTTAATTTTTGGGCCGGGCTCGGTGGCTCAGCCTGTAATCCCGCGCCTTTGGGAGGGTGAAGTGAGTGGACTGCCTGAGCCCGTGGGTTTGAGACCCGCCTGGGCAACTTGGCGAGACCTCATCTCTACAACAGGTCCAAAAAATTAGCCGGGCATGGTAGGATGCACCTGTAGTTCCAGCTACTTGGAAGGCTGAGGTGGAAGGATCGCCGGAGCCCAGCAGGCCGAGGCTGCAGTGGCCGGGAGCAGCCACTGAACTCCAGTCTGGGCGACAGAGTGAGACTCCAACTCAAAAAAAAAAAAATCTCAAGCTCAGTTAAATGCCAATGCATTTCTGTGTATCCTTTATTAGACTTTGGAGGAGTGATTGTGAGTTATATACTTAAGTATCTAAATTAATCTTTGTCCTTTCTAATATGAAGTCCCCCTCCTTTTTCTCTTGGCTTCCCGTTTGCACATGTATTTCACATTTTAAGGTGTTCTCTTTTTATAAAGAGAAATCCAGGCAGCCCACCATATCTACTGGTTCTGCATTCATGAATTCAACTCTGCCTTGGAAATATCAAAAATAAAAAAATACTAATTTAGAAGATGATGTAATTATTTGCATAGCATTTACATTGTAAATATAGAGATGATTCAAAAGTATGTGGGAGGATGTACGTTGGTTATATGTAAATGCTATATCATTTTATGTAAGGATCTTGAGTAACCAGATTTGTTATCTGCAGGGAGTCCTGGAACCAATTCCCCTTGGGTACTGAAGGATGACAGTACTATGAAACAACACAAGCTGTTTCATGAAAAACCTGGCTTTGGAGTTTTGCTGTTTACCACTGTTGAACAGCAAGGTTGAACATGATTTTGTCATATAAGGAATGATAACTTTGCATTTATTTAGCCATAGTTGTGGTTTTTTCCCCCGTAGAGTGTTTTCATCTGCGTTAGTTGTTCTTAAACTTCAGTACATGTTAGAATCACCTAGGTGGTTTGTTGTTAGTTCCTATCTCCAGAGTTTCTAAATCAGTCAGTTGGGTAAGGGGCAAAAATTTGCATTTCTAACAAGTTCCCAGGGAATGCTGATGTTGCTATACCGGGGACGAGAATTTGAAAGCCACTATTCTTACCATTTATCTTCAGAACAATTCTGGATAATAGTATGCCTCCAATTATTTGCACATTTTATATCTAGAAAAAATGAGGTAACAAACTGTTTTTACATCTCCTTAGTGGGAGAGCTAAGACCAAAGCAAGTTATAACTTCTGATTGTTTCAGTGCAATAGATAACAGAGAAAGCTCTTGCAACTTTTTTTTTTCTGAGTTGGAGTCTCACTCCATCTCCCGGGCTGGCGTGCAGTGGCATGCTCACCGCCACCCCAGCTTCCACCTGCTGGACTCTGATGATCTGTCCACCTCAGCCTTCCAAATAGCTGGACCTACCATGCACCACCACACCTGGCTAATTTTTTTTATTGTAGAGATGAGGTCTCACGAAGTTGCCCAGGCTGGATTTGAACCCATGGGCTCAAACAATCCACTTGCCTTGGCCTCCCAAAGTGCTGGGACTACAGGCTGAGCCACCAAGCCCAGCTGGTTATCTCATTTTCATGTTAAAAATAAATGTTATTCCCCAATTCCTGTAAAAAACAGTATGAACTCCTTATACCAATATTTGAAGTATTTTCGTATTTTGTTTGCTTTCGTTTTGGGCTTTATTGCTAATTCAAAGCATATACTTTTTGTATTAATTAAAAACAGATTGATGGTTCTAGAATTTGCTTTGTGCTTTTCCACATTAGCAACTTTCCTCATACCATTTATGCCTGGACTGACTATCCATTGTAATTCTTAATTACTAGCTACTGAAATGTATCATCAGAAGCAGGGATAAGCTGTTACTCCATTGAACCTTTTCTGTTTCTCTCTGTTTTTGTTCACTTAGGAATCATAGGTTTGGTTTTGTTGTTTTTGTTTTTTTGAGACAGGATCTCTGTCACCCGGGCTAGAGTGCAGTGGCATGATCACAGCTCACTGCAGCCTTGACCTCCTGGGTTCAAGTGATCCTTTTGCCTCAGCCTCCGTGCCTGGTTAATTTTTTGATTTTTTTGTAAAGCCAAAATCTCATTATGTTGCCCAGGCTGGTTTCAATCCTGGGCTCAAGTGATTCTCCCACCTTGGCCTCCCAAAGTGTTGGGCTTACAGGCGTGAGCCACTGCACCTGCCTTTTTTGAGACAGGGTTTCACTTTGTTGCTCAGGCTGGAGCACAATCATGGCTCATCGAAGTCTCAAACTCCTTGGCTCAAACGATCCTTCTGTCTCACCCTCTTGAGTACTTGGGACTAGGCGTATACCACCACACCAGGTAATTGTTTGATTTTTTGACTTGGGACTAGGTGTGTACCACCACACCAGCTAATTGTTTGATTTTTTTGTTGACCAGGCTGGTCTCAAACTCCTGGGCTCAAGCAGTTCTCCCGCCTTGATCTCCCAAAGTGCTGGGATTACAGGCAAGAGCCACAGTGTCTGGCTGATTTTTAAATAGCTTCTTTCTCCAAAAAAAAAAAAAAAAATAGTGCATTGTTCAAGATAATGAGAAGCTAGCCAAGCTCAGTGGCTCAGCCTGTAATTTTGCACCTTGGGAGGCTGAGGTGAGTGGATTGCCTGAGCCTGCGGGTTCGAGACCCGCCTGGGCAGCGAGACCTCATCTCTACAATAAATCAAAAAATCATCCGGGCGTGGTAGCACATGCCTGTAGTTCCGGCTACTTGGAAGGCTGAGGCGGAAGGATTGCCGGAGCCCAGCAGGTCGAGGCTGCGGTGACCGGGAGCGGCCACTGCACTCCAGTCTGGGCGACTGAGTGAGACTCCAACTCAAAAAAAAAAAAGATAATGAGAAGCCAAAGATCGTCCATTCCAATCCCTTTATTTTATAAATTAGCAAATTAAGATGAAATAACTACTCAGGAACTATAATTAGCAAAATAGATATTACAGATAAATTAATCAGTCTTAAAAACAACATATTCTCATTACAGGAAAAAGGACAGATTGAAATTATGAAACGGAAAGGCACAAAAATAGCTCCTGAATATCCTCTTTATGTACAGTAGACATTTAAAAGGGCAAGAAAAGAACAGACGTACAAGACAGAAGGAATAGTTTAAAAATAATAAAGGAGGGAGTTAACCCCAGGATGATTGAATATACGTAGGGTTTTCATTTCTTGTAAGTAAAAATAAAGGCCCTGGATGTTTATAGAAAATAAACGTAAGACTAGGCCGGGCTCAGTGGCTCAGCCTGTCATCCCAGCACTTTGGGAGGCCAAGGCGAGTGGAGTGCCTGAGTCCGCGGGTTCAAGACCAGCCCGGGCAACTTGGCGAGACCTCGTCTCTACGAAAAATCAAAAAACTAGCCGGGCATGGTAGTGGGCCTGTAGTTCCAGTCACTTGGAAGGCTGAGGCGGAAGGATGGCCGGAGCCCGGCAGGTCGAGGCTGCGGTGACCAGAAGTGTGCCACTGCACTCCAGCCTGGGCGACAGAGTGAGACTCTTACTCAAAAAAAGAAAATATAAGACTCTGAAAGTTGGATTTATAAAGGTAGATAGGGTAGGGAACATGGTTCATAAGAAATAACACAGTGGGCCGGGCTCGGTGGCTCAGCCTGTCATCCCGCGCCTTTGGGAGGCTGAGGTGAGTGGATGGCCTGAGCCCGCGGGTTCAAGACCCACCTGGGCAGTGAGGCCTCATCTCTACAAGAAATCAAAAAATCAGCCAGGTGTGGTAGCACATGCCTGTAATTCCGGCTACTGGGAAGGCTGAGGCGGAAGGATTGCCGGAGCCCAGCAGGTTGAGGCTGCGGGGCCTGGGAGCGGCCACTGCACTCCAGCCTGGGTGACCGAGTGAGACTCCAACTCAAAAAAACCAAAAACTAAAAAGTAACACAGTGGTATGCAACCTGGGTTTTCTTTTTTTCCTTCGTGTATCCCAGACTTGGATCTGGAGAAGCTGGCAACCCTGAAATGCCAATGAATGCAGACAAAAAAAAAAAAAAAAAAAAAGGCCAGGTGTGGTGACTCACACCCATAATCCCAGCACTTTGGGAGGCAGAGACGAGAGAATTGCCTGAGTCCAGGGATTTGAGACCAGTCTGGGAAACTTGGCGAGACCTCATCTCTACAAAAATCAAAAAATTAGCTGGTGTGGTGATGAGCGCCTGTAGTTCCAGCTACTTGGGAGGCTGAGGCAGAAGGATCACCTGAGCCCAGGAGGTCGAGGCTGTGGTG